GATTTTTCATTGCTAAGATAGGATAAAAGTCAAGAATAAAAAAAATTTGCGTGTTTTTAAATTATCGACAAAATTAAGAATTGAAGGAGATATCCCTAGGTGCGAGTAAAATTCCCTATATCGAATCATAGTAAAGTTACATTAAAAAAAAAAAATAAGAAAGGTATCGATATATTATATATATTTACATATATACAAATATATATATAAATAAATATATATACATAAAAAATATATATATTGTATATATATATATATGATATATAAAAGTTTCACATATTTTCTTAAATAAAACTATAATTTTCTTTGGTAACTTTTTGATAGGATTACATTCAATGTACGTTCAAAAATATATATATAATTTTATTCAGAGTACATCTTCGAAGAAATATATAAATTCATGTTCGAAACAAAATAAATTTTTCTTTGAAAATATTTTTTCGAATAATGAAAAATAAGATAATTGGAGAGAATTAAAAATAATTGTATTCATATATTAAAATGAATCACTTTATACGTATCTCTGTTGTACAATCTTGTACATATCTTGTACAAACTTTGTATTTAACAAAAATGCTTCTGTATAATATAAAGAGTAATGAGCATTATTATGAGTAATTTTATTTTGTCTTTTTTTTTTAATTTTTTTTTATGAGTTCTAAAATAACGGGTTATAAGTAAAAATAAATAAAAAAAAAATCAACAATTTTTTTCAATAACAAATTTATATAATATTAATTTATATTCCCAATTTGATCTTTGTTTAATGATATTGATTTTACATTCATGCATTCTATTGATATTTCTCAATCGAATAAGCTGTCTAATCTCTTTAATCGATGAAACATGAAACCTCGTTATATAAACGAATAGGATGGAATCAATTTCACGTCAATAAAACATTACAATATAGTGCCTTGGAGGAGAAACGTGGTCGTATTACCATGGGTAATGGTTGAAGGTTAAATTCAACTAGTTATCTCATAGAATTGAAAATCGAACAAATGTTAGCATTATTTAGATTTTCAGATAAATTATTAGGGGCGCAAGACAATCGATAATATCGCTTTTTACAAAAGTGATAGACAGAAAATCAAATAAGAGAAAAATCATTATCGACAATTAACTTTTCTAGGGAAAAATTGTTTGAACATTTCTAATCTCTAATTGAAGTGTATCCCAACTTTTTTTTTAAAAATTCATAACTAATAACTCATTTCTATTGTAAATAAGTAAATTCCTTCTTTTTGATATTAATGTATTTTTAATTGGGTAATATTTATTAAAATATTATTATAAAATATATATTTGTTAAATATTTACTTTAATCTAATATTTTTATTGGAAATAATATCAAATAAAATTGGTTCAATGAATTCAATACATTTTCATATCTATCAATGATTAGCAAGGAAATTAAAATTATGTATATTATAATCTTTTTTATTTATTTTTTACCAATTTAAATTTTTCAATATTTAAATTATCAAAGACAATTACATTCTTAAATAAATTATATTTAATTAGTTTCAATGAAATTGTGAAATTGATATGCAATTATTTAATGATATATTTAGTCGTTATATTCTGAATATTTATTAAATCAGTCATTTTATATACAACAACTTAATAATATAATGGGGACAATGAATAAATTTAAAAAATTTCAATTATAAAAATAAAAAAGTTATCTTGTTGGTTATTATTCTATTTAGAAACTTGATTTATTATATTTTTTTTATAAAAAAATAAGGAACAAACTTAAGAAAAAAAAACAATATTTCAGTACTTTTATCAATTGTTTATAGAGTTTATCATCTTCTATCTAATTAATTAAAATTAATAGCTAATTCATGAAACTTTATCAATAAAAAATAAAAATTAAAACGATTTTTTTTAATATTAAGAAGATGAGAAATATATTGTATATTATACAAATCTTAAATCATTTTTACATCAAACAATGAAGAATTATATAAAGAATTATATATATATAAAATTATATAAAGATAAAACGATCGTGATTACGTTGTATTTAGATTTGCGTTGTGGAAATATTTTTTGTTTTATCATCTTTTTACGTAAATTTATTAAATGTTTTTTTTTTTGATAGTTTCCTTTTGGTTGAATAAATAATATTTTTTGCTAGATTTTTTTTTTGTGAAAATATGCATATTAGTATCAAATCAATAATTGAATATTATTAATTGTTATATAATGCCACGTATAATTTAATTTATTTTTTATTAGATGTAAAATGATATGCTATTCTAAATTTTTTCTGATTTCTTTCTAATTTATCTAATTTTTTCAATTTCATCTCTCAACGTTATTCATTTGTACAATTTGAAAAAAAATTTGTGTCTCTTAATAATATATATCATAGATAGAGAAAAAAAGATAAGAATTATGATAATTAAATATGATGCTTATAAAAATATTTATGATCTTGTATTCTGATCTCTTATTATTTTTGTATTATGAATATTATTATTAAAATTAGATATTATTTATTTGAAATATAAATGGAACATAAGAAGAACAAATAATAATTATTCCAAATAAAATAATTAAAATTAATTCTTTCAAATATATTATTATTCAGATATTATTTAAGATAAAACAATATAATAAAAAATAAAAAAAAAGTCTAATTTCATTCTTAATCTCTTTAAATATTTGGAATTTAATTTGAAGAAATTTTTAAATTAGATATTTTTATATTTGTACAAAAATAAATCAATCAGATTTTATGTATAAATTTATTTATTTTTGAGTGACATAATATTAGGATAATTAATAATAGAATAATTTCAAGTTGTTAAAATGTAATAGAAATTATAAAAGATGATAAATAAGTTAAGTAATTCTAATAATTATTATTTACTTGTAATTTTAAATTTACCTCACCTTTGACAAATTAAACTTTTGCATCATAGCGCAAAAAAAAAAAAAAAAAAAAAAAAAAAAAAAAAAAAAAAAAAAAAAAAAAAAAAAAAGAAAAAAAATACAGAAAAAATGAATAGCTAATCTAACTTGTTCAACTATATAATGCTCAAGATGTTAATCTCTGTACTTACTCTAGAACAACGCAGATACATCTAATCTAATATTCATTTTTCAATTTATGAATATTAAATATTGTAAATACATCGTAAATAATCATTATGATATTTTTGAATTTATAAAACGCAACACTCGGTTCTTAGAAAATTCTTATAATTAAAATTCTATACACGATTATATTAATTCTTTCAAATATATTATTATTCAAATAATTATTTAAGATAAAACAATATAATAAAAAATAAAAAAAAAGTCTAATTCCATTCTTTAATCTCTTTAATTATTTGGAATTTAATTTGAAGAAATTTTTAAATTAGATTTTATATTTTTTAGGACTATTTTAATAATTATATCAACTATATTTATAATTCATTAACTCACTTATTTGATTTCTATTGTTAACAATAGCAAAAAATCTTTTCTATTGTTAAAAATAAATAAATAAATAAAAATTGTTAAAAATAAATAAATAAATAAAAAAATATGATCCTCAAAAAACAACGATTATTTTTGGGATAATATTTTGAGGGATCATTTTTAATCTTCGATTCGATTATTTATTAAAATATTTTGTGAATAAATAAATAATAAGAGAAGATTAAATGAAATAACTAAAATTCCCAGGTAAAGATATTTCTTTTTATAATCTGTCAAAAATTCCGCCAATTTACATAATTTTACTTTATTAATTTATATTATTGAACGAAAGAAATTTTCCTCAAGAGTCAAAAATGATTTGGTGATTTTTTTCTATCTTAATTATTTATTATTTATTAATCAATCATTATTTATTAATCAAGATGTTTATCTTTCAAAAATTCAATGTTAATATTAATTTAATGTTTTTTTTATCATTATCTTCATCGAAATATATAAATGTATCATTAACGAATTTCAAGACTTTACATATAATTCTGTTTACATATAATTAAGTTTTTGTTTGGTATATTATATATTATATATTATTACGAATAAAATTAAAATATGCATACTAATTAAAATATA